GGAAGAAGAGGGGAAGTCTCTCGTGCCCATCGCAACTCCTGCCCTCCGTCCTGCCCTATCCTTTTCTGCACTGCATCTCCTTTTCCCACCCCTCCCCCTCCCCTGTCCCTCTGATGCCTGGTGTGTCTGACAGCGATACAGCTGCATGATAGTTCATTTTAGTTAAGGCTGTCGTTTTAGCTTGCTCCTCGCAATAACCTGTGCCAAATAGTACCTTTCCCCGCCCCCGCATTCAGCACCGCGTATTTCTGCGTCGATTTTGTACCTCTTTCCGTTTTGATAAACCCTCGCGCTTCCCTCGTCACGTGTGTACGTAGCTCTTTAACGACTGGCTTGAGACGAGAGACAAGCTTTTCGCGGATGTTTTTTAAGGGCGGCGAGAGGGCCAGAACGTGCACAGGCTCCTTTCTTGCGTCAGGGGAGACTTACGCATTACCAGAATAAACCCTGCAAATCAGCCCGTTCAAAGAGATCGCTAATTTATCGAGCTCTATTTATACGCGAAAGGTCCGTCGTTCATTTCTTTTTTACGCTATATTTAGCAAGACGGAATTAAGAGCCAACGTGGATGTTGGAAATGAAGACGAGAGAGGGGAAAAGAGGAGATATGAGAGAGTAGAATTGATAAGGAATTTGAGGGGAATGGGAAGGAGATGTACATGGAAGCAAGGGGTGGCAGAGAACGGTGGATGCGAGACGAGGAACTCAGAACAGAAGGGAATAAAATGAAGGGAGGGACAGTGGGCCGAGGGGAATCGAGGGGAACTGGGGGAACAGAGCCGGAGGAAACATGGACCGCGAGGGACGGAGGGACCCAGGAGAGGGGAGCGGAGCTGAGTTGTGGCGAGGGGAGAGGCGAGGGCAACGGGGAAGTGAGAAATGAGATTGGAAAGTGAGGGGATTTTGAAAAGTAATTTTGTGAAGGGTAACTGTCTGTACGAGTGTGCAGAAGGGTTAATACGCGTTGTCTTTATGTTACCGAGGTGTTTCTCGCGGTAATAGGCGTGTAATGGTTCATTCCTTCCTTGTGAGATGAGCGGGTCTGAGTGTGGAAGGGTGTGCAGTGACCCGTGCAGGACCCTTTTATGCACTACTCGTAGGTGCAATTTTGAACAACAATAGTTACAGATCCTCTAATTGCGTCCAGACATACTTTGGACAAGTTATTTGCTAGTTACAAATGTTCCAGTAGTTATAATGCAAGGTTGCAAGGCGGGTATCGAGGTCCCTTGGCTGTTGAGGCATTGAGGCCACAGGAGAAATACCTTGGAGATATTGACACAGTAATTTCGGTCGAAACGGGAAAGAAAATGGCTTTGTAAATGAAGAAGGAAATCAAAATCCCAACGAAAGATGAGAGGTGCAATGAGGCGAGAACAGCGCGAAGAGAAGGAAACAGGAATAAATAACTTGACGGGAGTATAAACAAATGAAACATGTTGAGAGCCGGAAGACGGATAAGGGAAGTGGCGAACATGAGCCACGCCAGGCCGTATATGCTTGCCATGCAGCCAAAGAGGCAAAATAGCAGCACAGGAGGAACCAGAGGGCAGCACAAAGAAGGGTCTCACCCGCAGGCCTGCATAGTTTGGGTAACGCTAAACATGGCCTCGAAGCTTAGGCAGCCTCGACACACTCAGCACTAGAACGCGGGACGGAGGAGGGGAGGAGGGGGAGGAGGGTTGTGTGTCTGCTGGTGGATAGGACGCTAGAAATGCGAGAAGAGGAGGAGGAGGAAGAGGAGGGAGAGAACAGGGAAGAAAATATGTTTAAAAGCCGTGCGAGGAGAGAGCGAGGAGGAGGATTGGCTGTATTTGAGGTATAGATCACCTGTATCGTTTTTATATAAAAAGTTGGCAGCGGTGAATACAATATAATGCGTGTGGTTTGCGGCGTGATGTTGTGAGGGCGGCATGTGGTAGCGGAGACACCTGATACCTCATATCGCTTCTTTGAACCCGTGAGGGATTGTCCCCTTCGCCCTCCGAGGCAGTAATGGCCGAGCGGCGCTGGTGACAACCGCTCGGGAATGATAATTTATATTTTGTTTTCCGAAGGCGAGTCCAGACGCCACGCGATCCGCGCGGGTTGAGTGCCAGCAAGAGGGGGGAGGGGGTGGCCTTATCTTCGTTCCTGCCTTTTGATGTTCTGAACTGTCTGCTGAGCTGCCGAGTTTGAGAACGCATTTTCTTTGCAACGCCTTCGCATTCATTCTGGCATATGTCGGATTCCGTCTTTGCGCTGATGCCCTCATGTTTGGAGGAACATGCTGGACAGGTATGGCGTCGTTGCCACGTTGCCAGGAGCAGCTTTTATCAACGTGTGGATTTACTTTTTTGTGATAGCGGAGATACGAGACGTGAACAAGGGATGTGGATGAGGATGTGGGATGAGTGTAGCAGTAGGTTTGGGTCCTCACATCGTACAGTTTTATGCGCGCATCTTAAGCGCTTACATGAAAGTTTTCAAGATTATATTACGATCACTTTCCTTTGTACAGATGAACAATATTTTTATAGTGTTTTATAAGAATTTGTTTTAATCGTCACGCGAAGTACCTGAAAAGAGATTGTTAAGTTTTGTAAAGTATGAACATAGATATAGTGTGATAGTGCTATTGTGATGTTACCTGATCAAAAGGAGAGCAAGCGTTAAGCCGAGCGCGCCCGAGCCCCATCGCGCCATGTTGAGCGTGCAAGCCATGATCCACCGCCAGGAGGCCGCCACGCCCCTGCGCAAGCCGGACAAGGCCTCCAACCGGCCCGACTCCAGCGGCAGCGGCAAGGGCAGGAACAAGCGTAAGGCTGGCAAGAAGAAGCGCGACGCGGCGGCGGGCGGCGACGACGCCATCGGGGACATCTTCGGCGAGGTGCGCCCGCCGCCAGGCAAGGGCGAAACTGAGGGCCGCGCCGTGGTGGCGCGCGAGTGGCTGCTGCTGCGGAACACGGAGGCGGAGCCGCAGGGGAGGCTCCCTCTCGCGGGGGACGCGGACGCTGGTCGTCGCAGGGCGGACCCCGGCCACAGCCACGTCCCCATCAGGAAGAAGGATTCTCGGGCGGGGAAGAGCAAAAAGGACGCCAACGGGAACGTAAGGATACTCAAGGATTCCAAGACCTGCGGTGAGGACGCGGCGGCCACGGCACCGGCGGATACGAGCGCGAGAGGCAGCGTGGGTGCAGGAGAAGCCCGCGAAGACGCGAGCAGGACGGCGCAGGGGAGAGAGGCGTCGTTCTCGGCCGAGGGCGCAGGGCGGCTCCATTCGCAGCTGGACCCCACAGACGGTACGCCCACGAAGGAGGTGGTAATCATAGACAAGCGACAGCCGCAGGAGAGCGCGAGGAAGAGCCGTCACGGGACGGCGGACGCGCCCTCCGACAAGAAGGAGCGGCGGGCCGGCGTCGGCAAGAGCTCGAGCGTGAAGCGCCACAGTTCCGGCCGGAGCACGGGGTCGGAGGGGAGCACGCTGAGGCGGTTGCGGGGGCGGACCACGCAGCGCAGCAGCGCCGCCACGCAGACACCGCCAGGGTCGCACACGGACCTCCACAAGTGCGCGCCGCCGCCGGACAACCGGCGGGGTTCCTACAGGAGCCACGAGGTGCCGGGGGCACACAGCGCAGAGCACAAGCCACACGAGGAGCCGCCACGTCGAGACATCTCCGTGGGCATCCCCGGGGCCTCGCTCCTGCTCAAGCTGGTCATGCCGCGAGACAAGCGCTTGAGCAGGCACTCCGGGGGCTCGCCCTCCAGGGACATGCCGCCCACCGCCTCCCCTGCCGTGACTCGGACGCCCGCGTCGCCTCCCCTGCCGTGGTTCTGGCCGCCTCTCCGTCACGTGGAGGCCGCCAACCCAGCGCACCCGATGCCTCCGCTGACGCAGTCGAGTCGGCGAGGCGGCGTGGCCGTCGGAGGAGGGGAGGCGGAGGCGGCGGGCGGCTGGTCGCCCGTCATGGAACGCGTCGTGCCCTTCCCTCCGAGAGCGGCGCCGCCCGTACCGCGGCCGATTCAGGGCGACCAGCTGAGTGTGTCTAGCATGAACAGCAGCCTCGCCGGCCACACGTATGAGCAGGTCAACTTCGTCATAGAGCCTCCCATCTCAGAGGGAAGGGAAAACGAGTACGAACTCGATAACGTGGGCGCGCGAGGGGAGGCGTTTCCTTCTAGCATACACGAAAAAAGTTCCTTTCGGGAGAACACACCCGAATTTCTGCGGCCGATGGCCCCCCCGTGGCAAGACTCTGCTCTTGGATCAAGAAGGCGTCCCAGCGACGGCCAGTGTTGGCCAGATCCACTGGAAAAAGCAGCAAGACAACCCATTGTTATCCCAGGTCAGGATTCGGTCCAAGCATCGGGGAGACGACGGCCCTCGAGCAAAAGGAAGCGGAAAAAATCGCGGTCTGCGGCGACCACGACAGACGATTCTTTAGTCAGCAACAGTGGCTTTCAGCAGGATCTCCATCTGATGAAGGAGGGCAGCGTAGAGCGCTTGGGGAGGCGTGGATCCTGGGAGGAAGTCAGGAGGGTTCCGCCGGCGTTGTCTTACAACCGCAGAAGCAGTTCTTCCACCATACCCGAAGAGGCCCGCCCTCCCGTCATAAGTGCGAGTAACAGAAGCAGTGGTTTGCGAGGCACGCACACTCTAACCATAGACAAACCTCTGACGGTGGTGGTCAGTGAAGATAATTTGCAGATGACGAGCTCGGTCTCGGTAAGCTTACCCATCTATCATAACGCCTCCTCATGTGATGATGACTCGGGTCCCTTTGAAGCGCCCAGAGAACCAGCAGAACCAACAGCAACAAAAGACGTAAAAATTATACACAGGCTGCTAGATATTGTGAACCAGGAGGAAGCGAAGGTCACTCATTCGCCCCCAGGCCAGCGGCACAACGTTCGCCGCCGCGGCCTCTACGTCCCCCTCGATCCCGAGACGGACACGGAAGTCAGATCGGAATCGGAAACCTTCGTGAGCAGCCAGGAAGCCTCGGAGCTTCGTTTGTCGG